CAGTGTAGATGAACTCTCAACACCGTGCCAAGAGACAAGCAGGCAGGAAGCAAACCTCTTTGTATCTGGTTTCCGCTGCAAGGTGCCACCAACATTCTGGGTGGGTCTTCCCACTTGAGACAACGTGTTCAAGAAAATCTTGCACAAGCGTGCTTGGAAGCTTGTTTCTAAGCGATTCCAAATCCAATCAAGTTAACACAAAAACTAACCATTACACTAGGCTTCACAAATGCTTACTAGAAATGCATCTTAATTATTTAAACTTAGCAAAATACAAATCAGAACAGTAAGCCCTTAACTTCTGATGGCATTATTTATTTTAAAGATAGTTTCTGTATGGGTGTATTATCATCATGTATAGTGCTGGGTTTCATAAAGACAAGCTTTTTCATTATATTTTAATATATTTGAGATTCTCTAGTTTGCCCTCCCTCTGTTCCTCCTTTCCCATCTCCAGCTACTCTCCTACACCTAGTCTCCCTTTTACCTTCATGTCATTTATAGACATTAATGATATGTACCCATAAAAAAATTCTAGGTCACCACTGCTTACTGTCAGATACCCGAGACTACACTGACAAGTTCCAGGTAAGTGAGATATCCTGTCTTACAAAATATAATTGGGTCATATTCGTTTTCTTTATGGTAGCTTTTCTGGCCAGGATGAGACAGAATTATACTGTGGGTTTTTTTATTTTGCATTTCCTTGACCACAAAGGATGTCAGACATTTAAAAATATGTTTCTTGGCCATTTGTATTTCATCTTTCAAGAACTATCTGCTCACTTCAGTAGGCTTATTGAATGGGTTTTTTGGCTTTATGGCATTTAGTTTTTTGAGTTCTTTGTTCTAGATATTACTTCTCTGTCAAAAATAAAGGTAATAAAGAGTTTCACCTATTCTGTAGATGGATGGCCTCGTTTATTTTGTTTCCTTTGTTACACAGTTCTTTAATTTAATGGAATCATCTCATTTATCACTTGTTATTATTTCTTGAATGACTGGAGTCCTTTTAAGGAAGTCCTTACCTATCTATGTCTATAGCCTGAAGGGTTTTCTACATGCTTTTCTTTAATAATTCCTGAATTTCAGCTCTTAAATTAAGGTCTTTCATACATTTTGTTTTATTTTTTTGGAACAGGGTCTCTCTGAAGATGGTCTGGAACTCACTATGTAGACCAGGTTGGCATTAGTTTCACAGACGTCCACCTGTCTCTGCCTCCTGAGTGCTGGGATTAAAGGTGAACACCATCATGTTGCACTCTTTCATCCATTTGGATTTGAGTTTGAGCTGACAAGATGAGAGGTGGGGATCTATCTTCATTCTTCTCCACATGGCTATCAAGGTTTCCCAGTACCATTTGTTGAAGAGCATGTCAATTCTCCAATGTGCGTTATTGGCACCTTTATCTAAAATTGGGCAAGTGTAACTATATGGGTTTAATTCTGGGTCCCATAATTTGTTCCATTGATCTACATACCTGTTTTTATGCTAGTAAAGTATTGTTTTTGTTACTATGACTCTATAATGTAATTTTATATCAGGTATTATGATATTTCTTTTTTTTTGCCTAAAATTGCCTTGACTATTTGGGAGTCTTTTGTGCTTCCATTATGAATTTTAGGATTTTTTTATTTCTGTGAATGAAATACCATTGGAATTTTGATGGGGACTGCATTAAATCTGCAGACCACTTTTGGTAGTATAGTTATTTTTACTATATCAGTTCTGCTGATCCATGGTCCTAGGAAGTCTTTCTATCTTTCAGTGCCTTCTAGTTCTGTCTTTAGTGTTTTATAAGATTCATGGGAAAGTACACTCATTTCTTTGGTTAGATTTATTCCTAATGTATTTAAGAATTTTTGAAGCTGTTGTGAATATAATTGTTTTGTGATTTGTCAGCATATTTGATATTAGTATGTAGAAAAACTACTGATTCTTTACTTTTTTAAAAATTGTCATTTTATGTGTATGAGTGTTTTGCCTGTATGTATGTAAGTACATTATGTACATGCAGTGTTTGTGGAAGGCAGAAGAGGGTGTGGGATTCCCTGAAACTGGAGTAACAGATAGTGTCAGCTTCCACATAGGTGCTGGGAACTGAACCTGGGTCCTCTGCAAGAACAACCAGTGTTATTAACCACTGACCCATCTCTCTAGCCCCAACCTACTGATTCTTGTTATGTTGAATTTCACTACTTTGCTGAAAGTGTTCAGCTATTGTCAGAGCTTTTGGTAGAGTCTGTGGTCTCTTATGTACAGAATTATATAATCTGTAAATAGGGATAGTTTGATTTCTTCCTTTCCTATTTATTTAGTTTGATTTCTCTTGTCTTCTCGCTCTAGTTAAGACTTCTAGGATTGTATTGAGTAAGAGTGGAGAACTGACATGGGAACCCTTGTCTCCTTCTTGACTGTAGTGGAAATGCTAAGTTTTCCCCCATAGTAATGTCGGCTATAGGTTTGTTAAATACAGGCTTTATTATATTGGGGTACTTTCTTTTAGACCTCGATTCTTCACGACTTTTACCATGAAGGTGTATTGGAATTTGTCAAAGCTTTTTCTGTATCTATTGTGGTGATCATATAATTTCTGCCCTTGAGTCTTTGATGAGACATATTATATTTTCATTATTTATTAACTAAGTGACCTTAATAATTAATGCAGTGCTTCTAGTTTCAAATTACTTGTTTTAAAAATGGGATGAAGTCTTTTATCATCAGTGGACTTATAAGAATGCAATGATGGGGCTGACAAGATAGCTCAGTGGTTAAGAGCACTTGCTGCTCTTGCAGAGGACCTGGGTTCAAATCCCAGCAGCCACATAGTGGCTAACAACCATCCATAACTCCAATTCCAGGGAATCCAATGTCCTCTTTTGGCTTCTGAGGGCATTTCATGACACAGGTACACTCACAGGCATCCAGGCAATGCACTCATACACATACACATAAAATAAAAATAATAAAAATAATAAAATATTTTCTAAAAAAAGAATGCAATGACAACTGTGGAACCTAGCACCGAGACTCCTCAGTGCTATAAACTATGATGTTCTCTGCATTCGGAGCCAATCATGGGGAAATAAACCCCCTAAACTATTTATAACTAAGCCTTAGAAAGAGGACATGAATATCAATATTTGGGCTTCAAAGAAAGGCTTTAGCAATATCAGAACAAGTGCTCAAAAAAGATTTGAGAATCCTCAAAGAATAAATAAAAGAAGAAAACAGTTTCTACTTTATAATTATTTTTGCCAGCAGATAAGCAAGTTGGAGTAAATGAGTTAAAGAATGACAGTTTGAATAATTTTCGTGGGCTCTGGGCCTTCTGAATTGCCCCTAGTTGGCCGGTACTTAGCTGCTGTGATTAGGCCAGGGGAAAGAGACTGCATATGAATCCTGTGAATGTGTCTAGGCTCTTAATGGGTTTTTTAACACAGGAAAAGTGCAGTCTTAGGTGAATTCCTCTTCACCACCAGGCATTAGGAATTCTTCAGGGTCAGCAAGAAGTCTACAACTCTTACATTCCAAAAAGATGGACTAAAAAGTCAATGAACTTAAGAATTCAGAACCTAGGAACCACAAATGAGACTTTAGCTGGAAGGAGCCAGAGGTGAGGAGAAAGCTGGAATATCTCCTGAAGTTTAAAGAGAGGGAAACTCTAAATCCACACTTGTGAAAATTCAGTGTTCTATAACCGCAGAGTAAAGGGCAGGGAGAAGATCTGAAATCAAGCTAAAAAATGGCAGCCTTGATGACAAAGTTTGTTTACTGTGCCAAAAGAAACGATGTCATGATGTAATAAAACTTAAGGGAGGCACCATGTTCAACACTGTTTTACCACTGGACTTTAGCCTCTGAGGGGTTAGCATAGCCACATCATCAGTACAGGTGCTAACACCTCAGAGAAACAGAAATAGCACGCAGTAGAAAAAGCTGCTCTGAGTGTGCCTGGCACAATTCACAATCCTTTTCATTTTGTTCATCAAGGCCCTGGAGTTAGTTATAGTTACAATTTAGGAATGTATGAGAAGTAGTAACAGGTGACATTGTCAGTCTTGAGTCGGCAGGCATATCCTTCAGTATAATTGCATCAAGTCTTCAAAACAATAACATGCCCTCAGATGGGTACAAGTTGGGTCCCAAGTTCTGGCCTCAGACATTAAGGGGCTCAGAGCATACTTTGTATCCTTAGTGTTTTCTGGGTTCCTCTTTGGTTTTGGAAATGAACAGCATCATATGACCATGGGGATCTGAGCTTATTCCACAAATCTCATGGATTCTGTCCCCTGTTTCCCCCATTCAAAGATTTTCTTTGCATTCAGTGTTCACCAAATGCCACAACAAATTACAGTAAATGTGCTTACTAGTGTGCCCATCTTGGGGTTGCATGACTGAGCCCTGGTTCCAGGAGGGTAGCCTTGGAAATGAATTACTCCTGGAGTTAGCATAATATAGCTTGATGCAGAGAATGACATAGATGATACAGCTACAGATGTGCAGATAAAGACACACCCTGAAGGCTCCCTAGATTACTAGAGGACACTAGTAAAAGTAACAGAGACTTGTAGATCTTGTCATAGTCAATGAATGAATGTTGATCAGCAGGTAAAGTCAAGAGAAAAGTGACAGTGTCATTTAGCTGAGTCTATATTACAGCCCCCAGATTCCTCCTTCACATGGGAAGCTTACCACATAATATATCTCTAAACTTGAAATAAATAGAAAACAGGTAGAGGAAAACAGAAAACCAGAGAAAAACACTCCTTTAAATCCAGCATAAAGTCTTCACTTGTTTTTGGTGTTCTTCTGGGAAGATCTTTAGAGTTTTTGCCTTCTGTCATCATTTCTATATGAGGGCTTGGGAAAGCTACTTGAGAATGCTTCTGTTTGAGGCTTTGTTTCCCATGAGAACAGTATGAAAAGTGGAAAGGCCTCCAAGTTGTTTAGTTAGGAAACATGACCTTTATACTCTTTGTTGGAGTGAGCCAAAAGGTAGTGACTGAAATTCAGGTCTTTGGTGACTTATATATACTCCTGTGAAAGGCAGCCATCCCAGTTTTTACAGTGAGCAAAACTACAAACTCTGGATTTGTTGGGATTTCTGATTGAATTTCAAACCAGGAAAATATCACAGAGACCCACCATGAAGCTGATATCCATCTTGCTGCTGGTGATCATTAGTATTTGTAGTTACTCTGGTAAGTAGTCTAGAAGATATGCTATCTCTCTGCTTTTTGGTTTCTGTTAGTAATAACACCAGCAAGCCTTGTACACTGACAGGATAGAAGGAGTTTTAGAATCAGAGAAAATGATAGTAACTGTTGGAAGATATAGAAGATCCTCTATAAATCAAGTTGTAGTCCAGTTTATGTCCTATTCCTAATGCACAGAAAGTTAGCAAGCTTCCACTGAAGATCCACAAAGCATATTTCTCTGTTGGATAATGTGTTCAGCATAGTTTCCTTAACCTTGAGTCAAAAGCTGACTTTGTTACTTCTGTTTTGTAGGTTTTAGAAGCTGTTCAGAGTCATGCCTCCTGGCATGTCCAGTTAGCCAGATGGCCAGATTAACTGTGTTGAAACAGTTACAATTATCCAGTTACACATTCAGCAGATATTTATTGAGGGGCTGTGACTACTTGGGCAATGGATAAACACTGGAACATTCAAGTATCAGATATAAAGACTGTTATTAAGGAACTGGTAGTCGGGTATGGAATAAGACTTCTACAGAAATTACTACGCTAAACTCTATTGCAAATGCACAATGAGGTATACAGAGTTCTGTGGTCATATGAGAGATGAAGAGCTTCATTTCCAAGTAAGGTACAAAGCTGGCTTCTTAAAGGACTGATCACCTCTTTTAGAGGGAGTCATTATAAGTCTCAGAAAGATACATCTGGGTGCTCGATAAAATGATTACGATTGCCATTGATCACTGAGGGGAGAGAAGGTTTTGAGACTGTTTCCCCAGAAAGATATAAACATTCGTGAAAATGTTTAATGTGAGTAGTATGAAGAGTAATCATGAGATGCCAAGTGCTGCTTATATGTAGGCTGCAGACTTCAGATTGTTATTTTTTTTGTTGAGTTTTTGGAGAAATTTGGCCAGTTTTGAATAGATCCCTGTCCTTTAGTGCCCAGAGACAAGTATTTACAGGCAAAGGGAGCAGCAGAAAGGAGCATGGATCAGATAAGCGACGCCCTGGCAGGAGAGTGTTTGGGAGGGAACGTAGCTGATGGAGCAGAGGCGGGGCAGGTGGTAGGCTCCATTTTCATAATCTGAATGAGGAAATAGAAAGCTTTCCAAAGAAAAATGAGCTGTGGGCTGTCTTAGCTAGTAGTGCAAATGTTCAGTGAATGCTCATGCACGCATGTATTTGACATCTGCAACGTTTTCCCAGAATGCCTCACACGTACCTTTCAGTCTGGACTCCGTCACTTCCATTCATCTTCTAGGCAAAAGTTGTCTTCTTTTTCAGTTGGAAAATTGAAAACCTTTGCTTTAAATTATAATTACATAGTAATGCCAAATCAATGGGATTCATTACACTATTTTCCCATATTCATATGGCATGCATTAGTCATATCCGTCTTCCCTTCTTCTGACTCCACCCTCCTTCCTCCTCCAAAGACCTTGCCAAGCCTAGAAAAATATTCTCTCGATTCCTTTGTCCTTTCTGTCACTAGTGACCACTATTCCTTCAATAGAAGTTATATTTCTAAAATCAAAGGCATAAAATGCAATTGCCTCATGCAAAAACCTTAACTCCCTACTGTATTCAGGAAAAGGTCCATTCTTATGGGCTTAGTACCCAAGGTTTAAAAAAAATATGTTTTTAATGTATTGTTGCAATACCATCCACTCTACCCACTGGACATACCCACTGGCATTCTGAACCTCAGGCTAACCCTCTGGCCAGAAGGCTCACCAGTCTGTGTATGCACGCTCATGTTAACGTCTCAGTGACTTTGTTGAACTTCTTTCTAAGTGCTACCTGTTTTCTTTACCTTGTGATCCTGATATTTCCCTCTGAACTTAGCTCTAGTGGTTCTCATGGGGAGATTCTTACAACACTTTCCCACATCAAACTTAGTTATCCCTTCCACTGCCTTTCTACAGAGCTTCTTCCATAATGCTAGCAAACCACTTGCCATAATGTGGCATGCATGGATCCTGTCTACTGGCTGTATTAGGATTCTGAGCACATCTTTGCTTCACTTGTCAATTTATCTTCTTCATCTGACACAGAGTTGGGGTAGCGTTGAAATAATTGGTTTCATGAGCTGAGATCTAGTTAGCCTATGCTTGGCTTTCAACGGCGGGCTTCATGGTACCTCTCCTTTGCCTTGAAACCTGTGAGTGTGGACCTAACCATGTATAAAATACTTTCCTATTCACTCATTCATCAGTTTCTACTGAGTAATAGTATTTATTCTCACTACAAGCTACAGTCAGTTCTGAGAATCCGATATGTTAGCCAACACAAATTTCTTACTCTCCTGGAGCTTCCATTCCAATGAGAAGGTGAAGCTGATAAAATGACATACATATAATATTTAATATAACCATAAGAAAAAATAAAGGCGATAGTGACAAAGGATACTATTCAAATATAGTGGCTGCTGCCAGCTTTTCTAGGGGGTAACATTTAAAAACAAATCAGTTCATATGAGGAACCAAGGACTCTAGCTTTCTAGAGTGAGAAAGTTCTAGGGAAATAGAGTGGCACACACAAAGGCAGAAGTGTTCATGAGAAATCCAATGGGGGGATCTGGGTTGGAGCTTTTGATGGGAGAGAGAAGGTGGTGGGGTCTTAGAAGGGCCGGACCCACACGTTTCACTTGGCTCTCTTTTGCTTGCAGCTACTGCCTTCTTCTTCAACAGTGTCCCTCTCCCTGTTGACAAAGTGTTACCTTTACCTGTGGACAACCTTCTTCCCTTATTTGATCCATTGAAGATGCTCCTGAAAACCCTGGGTATTTCTGTAGAACATCTGGTGGAAGGGCTGAGGAAGTGTGTGGATGATCTGGCACCAGAAGCTTCAGAGGCTGTGAAGAAACTTCTGGTAACTACAGCTTAGGGGGTCTGAGTGTCATGGGAGAGGTCTTAGCCACATGAACTGTTTCCCATTACATTCTCATTTGTAAACATATGTTTCTTCCTCCTTAATTATACTCATGTACTTGTGTATGTCCCAGAGTCTCAAAGAAAGTTAAATGTGTGTATTTACAGAAAGCACATTTGAAAAGCCAACAACTGTTAATGTTATGACTTTACCATCACACACTTCATGACCCTCGATAGGGCACACTGATTGAGTCTGCTTCTACATTAGCAAAACATAACCATGTAGGAAAGTGAATTATTTTTGAAACACGCTAATTACATGTAAGCTATTTTAAAGATGTTTTTATCTTTGTCATTCTGCTTTTCAGGAGGCCTTATCACACCTGGTGTGACATCTGAATACAGAGAGTAGAGTTGGGAATGGAGATGTGTGTCCATCCTCACTGGCTGGATCTCATTCTACAAGTCCTAGACCTACTGTCCTAAAGTGTAGTGACTCTAGAAAAGAATGAATAAAGCAATGAAAAGATTTGTGGCTCACTGAGTTTTCATTCTGAGACATAACTTACAGTTTTTCCCTTGGATCATAAACTCTAGAGAGTTTGTTATTGCATAGACTGCCTGGCATATCATGTAAGAAATACTTAATCCTCTTCCTCACCTCATCTGTAAGTTAAAGATTTTCATCCTTCATGATTCGCTCCCCCCCTTTTATATCACTGCATCCTATCTCCCCTCCCAAGAAGCTTCCCATTATGGCAGTTTGCTAGTTTTCTGACCTCTATGCATTTTCCAATTGAAATTTTCATATTTAATGATACAAAGGTAGCATCTACTTATGACAGTCAACATGTGATATGTGTCTTTCTGATCTCAGTTACCTGATTCTTGATGACTGTTTCCAATTCCATCCATTTACCTGTGAATTTCATAGGAAATGTTGGCAAGCAATAGCAGCTGGGAGGAGTCAGTTTTCTTTAAGGGTGTGATGCTGGATAGGCTTACCAGGCTCCAGTGGATGGAACCATACACTGTGTCCATATGCATACAAGGGCATTTGCAGACACAAAATTTGACTTTATGGTCCTTTATACACATGTACATACACACATATATAATAGAGTATATGAAATTGGATTGGGGGTTATTAGTGGGTGCAGATAGGAGAGGGGGATCTAAATATGATCAAAATTTAGTGTATGAAATTTACAAAAATTCAATAAAGATGAAAAAATGGAATAAAACTAAAAACCTTTCATTCCCAACTATTCTTTATGTGATAGTATCTCCAGAGTTCTCGTCCTCTGATTCTCCCATTTTAAAAACACTTAAAAAATGAAAAAAAATTCAAGTATTGTCCAATGAGACTGAGACCCTACTAACGTCATTGGTTTAGTGATGAGCCCCAGAATGTGGGTTTCTAAGTCTGTAGTTATACTATAGCCATTCAATAGCTTTCACATGCCTTCTATCAAGTTATACCTTTCCTGTATAACCCTTAGGCAAAGCAGTTATAAGTGTAGGCCTTTAATCCCAGTCCTCAGGAGACAGAGGCAGGCAGATCTCAGTCTGGTCTACATAGCAAGTTTTAGGCCAATTGGGGCACAGGGAAGATTCTGTCTCAAAAAGACAAGAAAAAAAATCCCTTTCTTTTCCCCACTCACCATCTGCAACAATGTTGGAGTTACCATTCCAAGACCTAGCTTTACTTCTGTGATGATCACCTGCAGCACAGATCTCAAGCTTCTGTACATTTCACAGAACGCTTCATGATCTGGCCTTTGTTCATGTGCTTAATCTCATCAGTATTACTTTTCTATATGAACTCTAGTCCCAGCCACATGAAACATAGCCACATCCCTTCCCTGCTACCAGGCAGGCCTTCATGAAAAATCAAGTTTCTTTCTACCTACCTAATGTATCTATTTCTGTCTGCCTTCAGATGTGGAGCTGTGGCAATCTGGGGACCATTTGCCCTCAGATCCATTCCTCTTCACTTCCTTGGCTTTTTTTTTCATACTGAGGGAAGACAGGGAATGCGATTTTAATTATCACAGACTGAGTTTCTCTGGTTTATGAGTTAATGGACACTGGGAGGCCCATGCAATGGATTGGATTTGAGAAAGAGGAAAACTACTGTTGGGGTGGCCATCTCTGTTTCTCTTTGGGGGAATAGTCTGGAATTGGAAGAATCATGTCTAAGCGTCTCAGACCTGCTGGTTAGGATTGTAGTGATCCCAGTGTTTTATCAGGAGAGCCCAGTATTTAGGCTCTGATTATCTAATTGTACCTGTAATGGATTCCTATAGCTAATTTCTGGGTTGTTTCACCAATGCCTATTTGACTTTCAGCTCTTCTATCATCTCTTTATTCAGTTCTAACATCCAATGCAATTCACTGTACTATATGCCACATATTCTTAAAATTTGGAATGTGTCTTTTCCTGACTGGGTTTTGATTAATAAACTATTACGTGTCACTTCAATGAGTACTATCTTGATTTTCTGCCATTTCTTGCCCACCATATTTTTCCTACCTAAAATGTAAATGTTTCTTGATTTAAGATAGGTTTATATAAAAACAAACCCATTGTAGCTTAAAACATCATAAATCAAAATTACACTTAATACTAATAACCTATTGAATATTGTAGCTTGGCCTCACACGTCAGTGTAGAGTACTGTGGAGTACTTAATTTCTTTATCATGTGGTAGAGTGGAAGCTGTGTCTTGACACCACTTCCCAGGATCGTGAGGGAGAATCTTAGCACTAACGTTAGCCATGGGAAAAAGAAATGTTCAAAAGTTGAAGTTGAAGTGCCATTTCTACCAAATGCTTTCATATCATAATAAAGTTGAAAAATCATAATGTCTCAATTTTCTGTAGTTGCAACTTGTGAATGTTTCTGCTTTATTTTTTCTACAGCTATAATAATAGAACATATTAACAATTACAGTAATAAACAGTTTCAAATCCCAGTGACATGTATATCGCACTTGACTTTTTCCTCACATAATACAGTCATCTTTGGGTTGACACAGCTACACCACACATTGTCTGAATTCTGTAACCAGAGCTAGTGAAATAGCTGCCACCAGCATTTTAGGTCCTCATGATTACCAGGAAAGATAAACTGATAAACCATGACCTAAGTCTTGAAAGTTTCTACTGGAAGGTGATATACATCACTTCTAATTATGTTCTACTGTCCAAAGTCAGCCATGTAACTGATCACTGCTTACATATTTTGGAAGGGGATATATTATATAATTTCCCAGAAGGAAGTAAAAATATCAAATAAGGATCAATATAATACTCTTCATCATAGTACTTGACACGTCAAGGCAATTGCCACCTGACATGCCTCTGTTCCACTTACAGTTTTTATTCTTATTCAGTTGTCATCTTTTCTCTCACAGTTTCTTTTTCTCTATTTGATCATTGTCTTCCAATTTCTTTAAATGGCCTTTATTTTTCTGACGTTTACTATAGATTAATTTGATACTAAGATTCTAAATTTTATTCTTCTTATTTCACTTAATTTGTAGCCTTTATTGGGAGAGAATATTAATGGCTATTGATAATTTATTATTTTATTAATGTATTATATTCAATAAATTCTTATTAAATATTGATTACAGTGTTTTGCTTGATATTTAACTTACATTGAAAAATTAAATCAACATAGTACACTTGCTAGAGATTTTATAGTTTGTCATCCCTGCCAAATAATCTTCTAGAAAGCTACCAAGAGCGGCAATACACTCACCATCGGGGGAATGTGGCTTCTTCAAGGAACGGAAGCCACATATGTATACTGAAGTCATCCAGAAGGTACAGGAGACCTGAGCTGAGTCTGGAAAATGTAGAATAAGAGAAACCATGATAGATAAAATAATGGAAACCATGTGTTGGGTACTAGAGTCTTGGCTACTGACTATGAGCCCAGGAAGTCTTTGGGCAGTTTTGTGTCTTGTGTCCTCTGTATCTGAGTGGCGCCACCATGCATCCAGTCACATTAGCCAGATGCCTAGGAGTCATTATTAATACTTCCCTCTCCCTGATGCATCATACTTGACTCATCACCACATCCAGACAGAGTTATCTCCTGTTTTCTTGAATTCTCCCACATCTCAACAGACACTAATTTGTCTAAGTCTGCCTTATGTCTTTCAAGTGTTCCTAAGCTGGCTTATTGCTTTATTTTGGTCTCTACACAATAACTTGGGTTTTTAAAATGCAAAACAATCAATGAATAAACACATTCATTCTAATATTTAAAATCTTTGATTCATATTTGAGAAGCAAAGCATATGAAATCCTATAAGACATTTTCTTTCCTCATTTTCTTTCAATCTTCTTTACTTTACAAATACTTCGGTCTTCTTTCATCGATAAAGCACAGTACTTTTACAAATGCCCTCACCCAGCTTTAAATGCCCCTCACTTTCTTCTGGATCTTGCTCCATTTAACACTCTTGCTATGTTCTGCCACCCCAGCCCCCTAGATTTCAACTCAAGTAGTCACACAATCTTTAAAACCTTACTAAGGGAAATAACAAGGACTCAGAAAAATAAAAGACACATGTTCTTCTTCATTCGTGGATCTTAGCACCAAATCCTTTTAAATTCCATGTCCTTTTAATAAGATGAGGCTGTACAGCAGTCTCTTCTGCATGAAATAACTACCATCATCATGCCTTCAGCTGTGCCTGATTGCTCAACATCGTCACAATTGGGCTTGTTGATAGTTGTGCTCCTTCATTAGAGGGGCAAGCAGGATCATTGGACTCTCACTGGATTATCCAGCCACTCTTCCTAGCCAATTGTACATAATTTGGCCCTAATCAAACATGGTCTCCTGGATTTGGGGGAGAGCTAAAGTAAACAATCTGGGAAAGACTAGGAAGAGAAGGCATGACCCATCCTGGGTAAAGGCTTTCCAGCGTGCATACCCTCAGGTCATACATACACCTCAGCAACCCCTCAGTTATGTAAGTAAGTAAACTCAGTAAATTCATTGGTTCCCCAGTAAAACTTTAATCAAACATTGGTTTGACACTAGAACCTTAAAAGGGAATAAGCATTGCTTAGTATCCCCAGGAAAAGAATTCTCACAACAGATGGAAATTTTATTTGTTAATGTTATTATATCTCATAACTGTTTTTTAAAAAAAGAAAATGAGAATGTAAAAGAACTTAAAGGAATATGGGAATGGAGATATTTTCCAAAATAGAAAAAATGAGAAAGCCTAAGAAAGTGATGAAGGTCTGTATATGTTTATATGATAAATAAAAAGGATGAGACAAAAATAATATACACATAATCTTAAAATTTCTAAGGTCATAGTTTGGTCAACTAGTTTAAGGAACAAAACATATATCTAGTCAAGGTTTATCTGAGAACATTTGATCTTTTACCCAAGCTTTATCTATATAGCACATGGTAATTAAAACTAACAGACTGGTGGAACTAAACTTATTGGATGTTTAACAGTCATATTTTGAGGCCTATACTAATCTGGTCAGAGGGACTTAAAGGACAGTTTTTGCCCCTTTCCCTCCAAGGTCAACTAAGTTCCAAGGGACTATGGAACATCTCTCAAAATGTCCTGTAACTGTGGTGAGTCACTTGTCCTCTTGTTCAGGGAGGCCATGGGGTCCCCACAGATGGACTTGAACCGGTGTCCAGTCTACAAACAGGAAGATCAATTCAGAAGAAACATTTCCTCCATGCTTCCAGGTGAAGCCAGCCATGGTTGATCAGGACCTTTGACTTATCTTCATGTAGATGAAACTGGTAAAAGAAAGGAGCCAGGAGCTCCTCCCAAGCCCATGTGACCCCTGAGGAACAGCTCCTCAAAGGACTTTAAGTGTAAAAAAATTGATTTATTTGGGCCAACTGTATGGTCCTCAATACCAAAAGGAACATATAACCAAAGAGTAAAGTGATCAATATATTTCTTTAAGAGTTCAAGGCATTACACTTGCCAGACATTAGGCTTAAGTCCACATAAAAAGTTATTTAGACAATTATTTCTCATTGATGATTTTATTCCTAATCAGAAAGTGCTACTCAGATGTAAAACTTCAAATCTTGGTATGAAATACTGTAGTACCCACCTGTAGCTAAGGTAGATAACTTGCTATTGTTCTAAAATGATGGCTAAATTTGTTTTCTCCCCCTATCTAGAAGCCTTTGTGTGGAAACTGACACTGATTCTGGCCACTCCAACAGCTATCAAAATGCCCAAAAGCAAATCCTGAATCCATCACTGTAGAGTCCAGCCTTGGCAGACAAAAGAAAAATGTGGAGGAACCCAATAGAGGGATGCTTTTGGAAGCTCTTGTCAAGACATTCCAATGGACTCTCATATGAACATTTGAAATTTGTCTCGTTCTGACTTATTTCTACTTCTCTGTCTAGAACTTATAATGCTAATTACTCTTGCCTTTACTTTCCTTTACATCTATTCACCAATCAAGGACTTTCTTTTCCCCCTACAGATAAACGATGTATAATTTGGGAGTCTTTTAGATAGATCCACTGAAGGGGCACCCCAATTGCTTCACCCTATGTCCCAGTTCAGCCTGGAAGAAGCCAGAACAATCTGCATCCTGATTCCCTAATAGCAAATTGGGTAACCTCTTCAGGGGATGGTGTGATAAGGAGAGGAGTAAGGAATTGTCTAGGCAGTTAGGCTAAAAAGAACCCAAAGAAAAGTAGCCAGTTTCTTGGCTAAAAGTCAAACTGTCCTTGGGCCTCCTAGCAACACACTCTGTTCCAAAGGCCAAAAATGTCAAAAGCATTTGAGAGTTTTTATCTAATCCTTAAAAGATTTTAGGGTTACCTCTTCAGAGGGGGCAATTTTAGAGTAGCAAAAGCCCCATTTAAAAAAAGAAGAAAGTACTTTAAATTATCAGAAAGAAGTGATGGGGAGCTATGGGATGATTTGGAGGGGAGTGAGTGAGTATGGCTTTGATCAAAACACCTTATGTTCATGTATGAATTTTTCAATAAGTTATTTTAAAAAAATACTCCTTGATCACCTGCCCAGGTGAGATGCAATTACAATAGGTTCTAAGAGGACTATTGAGCTTTCTGAACATTTTATTCAAAACAGATTTAAATATTTATGTATGGTGGCCTGACTATATATATCTCCCATAAATTTTTATTAAACTCTTCCATTTCAGGGAATTTCAAAGATAAAACAGTATAGCATCTCTGAGAGTACATGGAGCATAGTAATGCTTCATACTACTTATGAATGAATGAATGAATGAAATGTGTAACATGATTAAACAGATACTCAGAATAATTTGTATATTAGATACTTTGCTATGTATTCATTTGAAGAAATGGTAGGAGATGCTTTATTCTCAAATTAAGTTTCCAGTTGTTTGACCTTAAGACATAACATGGCATTCTCACCCATGTTTGTAAGCTGATTGTAGCTACATTATGGACAACCACCAATAATAGGTAACTGAAACATAGCTTTTTCTCATAATAAATGGTGGGAAGTGGCAGAAGAAACTGATAGGCTTTAAATTTCATTTAAATAGAAGCTCTCCTTCTGCAAAGCATTTCCATAAAGAGAATAATACTAACTCCCACAAGCAGTTGAATCAAGAGCAGAGCTTTGTGAGGTCAAAATAGTGTTGTGAACTGTGTGTTCAGGATGCCACATATGCTGTGTTGGGAGTTAGAAAATCTGGTTTGAAATCACTGTCTCTCTTCTTGCTTTTTTGAATCTTAGGTATAATCCTAGTTGAACTCGGTGAGCCTCACTTCAATCACACTGTTGAATATGAGGCTACAGTTAGATTATAAAGCACTATTCATATGGAAGATATTCTTGATGCTTAAAAATGAATTTTCTTCTCAGTAAACACATGGGTCTTATCAGAGAGTAGGAGAAAGATAGCAGTGAAGGTTGAGGAAAGAAAACTTATAGTAAAGAAATGAGAAATTTTCAAAATCTCTATGGGTTGCTGGAGTTCTTGAACTGCATACTCTGATACCAAATCCAGTACTGACATTGTACCTGTTCCTATTTCAAATCCCACCCTGAAAGAGTGAATACAAAATGTATGAGAAAAGAAGTGTATTTCTTTCTTTTTTTATGAGGCAGACATTAAGGAATTTTTGTTTATTTCTATTTTTTAACTTAGAAAAAATTATTGAGAATTTCATACATGCATGTAAGGTGTTTTGATCAAATCTACGCCCACTCCTTCCCCTCCAACTCCCTGGTTCCTTTCTTTTACCAGTTCCATCTATGTGCAGATAAACCAAAGGTTCTGCTTGACCATGGCTGGCTTCGCTTGGAAGTATGGAGGAAATGTTTCTTCTGTGTTGACCCTCCTCTTTGTAGACTGGACACTGGTTCAAGTCCATCTGGTGGGGTCTCCATGTCCTCCCTGAACAAGAGGACAGGTGACTCCCTACAGTTACAGGACATTTTGAGAGATGCTCTATAGTCCCCTGGAACTTAGTCAACCTTGGAGGGCAAAGAGCAAAAACTGTCTTTTAAGTCCCTCTGACCAGACTAGTATAGGCCCCAAAGTATGGCTGTTAAACATCCAATAAGGTTAGTTCCACCACTCTGGTACTTTTAATTACCATGTGCTATATAGATAAAGCTTGGGAAAAAAACAAACATTCTCAGATAAACCTTGACTAGATATATATTTTATTCCTTGAATTAATTGACTAAACTATGACCTTAGTAATTTTTAGATTATGTATATTTCTTAAATAGATATTGTGTTGATTTTTATAGATGCAGTAAAATTACTGTGTAGGAACAAATTGGTAAATTAAAGTCTGAAAATGGGGTGGAGATATGGTTCAGTGGTTAAGAGTGCTTGCTGTGTAATCACGAGGACCTGAGTTTGGATTCCAGGACCCAATTTACAAACTGGGTATGTTCTTGCCCTTTTAAGCCCAGAGCTATGGAAAGTAAAGATGAGAGGATTGTTGGTGTCTTGTTGGATGCCAAACTAACCAAAAAACTATGAGCTCCAGGTACAGAAAGAGACCCTGTCTCAGATGAATAAGTCAGAGTGATGAGGAGAATGCCACATGCATCTTCTGACTTCCTGCAACATCCACACCTTCCCACCATCACCACAGGGGCATATGCCATATTACTCTTTGATCTGTCTCTGTTCTCTCACATACACACATACACACACATACCATAAACATACACCACATATGCACATGTACATTCACACACAAAAAGTGCTGAGGATATAATGTAGCTCAGTTGTAGAGCACTTGGCTTAGCGTGTGCAAGGGTTCATGTTCAATACATAGTACTGCAAGCAAACAAACTAAAAGCAAACAAACCCCAAACAGATATTTTTGGACCACAACTGGTACAGAAAGACAGTCTTGTGTCACATACTGAATTTGATAAATATCTAACATAACTTGATTAAAGATGGGCTATTTGAAATGGGCATAATTTTCTAAAATGCAAATTATGGATTGCCTTGATTAATTGTAGAATGAAATATGCATTTTTCAATTTTCACTAAGTTCAATTGTCACTCCTGATTTATTCATCTGTATTATTGAAGGTTCTTTGTATTGTATGCAAAACTATTGTGTCTAAGTAAAAACAGGAAGTAGAGAAAGATGTATTGAAAATACAGTGTCTTTGCATTGGGAGTCAAAGTGCTTGGGAAGGGCAGGATCCGAGACCACTCTTGAGAATTCAATAGCAGAAGCACAGAACTAGTATTCTACACTCTAGTGCTGCCTTAACTGCTGTCTTGCTCTTGTTTCCGTCTTGTCTTCTTGGACATATTATGTAATTCAGGAAGCAGCCATGGCTGCTGAAGACTCACATCCATACAGTTAGGTGGTAGCAGGAAAGGGCTGTATTAAGCTTTCAAGGACTCTTCCCTGCCCAACACTCTGGTATTCTATGGGAATACTAATGACCATAGAAGTGTAACAGACATTTTAATAAGAACATGAAGAAGATCAGTTTTTAGTTACTGACACAGGAAATTCGGCTCAGTAATTTTGAAAGGAGGACTTTTAAAAGCAAAGTGTAAAACTTTGAAACTTCATATATTTTTAGAAATTAAGGTTTTATTTTTCATATAATTTGTATATATAAATATTGACATTGTTTATATATATATAATATATATTCAACATGTTTCTCTTATTTTTTGCCTTATTACAAAACTAAACATGCCAGGAAAAATTGCCAGTGCCAACAAAAATCTCTGTGAACTCAGGTTTGGAACTCTAAAGATGGCACTTCTTTTTTTCTGACTTCGCAGAAACAGAAATGCAAAGTTAAGGATCTCAAAATGAGTGATGTTTGGTGAAGGCCGGGGGCTGATTCCAAAGACTTTGCTGGGAGCTGCATTGAGGTCCCTGTCCCAGATGACATATGAAGCAGATCTGGAAGAGCAGGATCCGGCTGCACTGCCATCTCCAGCTGCCAGGTGGGTGTGCCCTTCAAAACACAGACACAAGGAAATAATGCCATCCAGAACGAATTAAAGACTTTAAAAAAACAGCGACGAACTTTCCACCTTTTCTTCAAAATGTTTTTAATGCTTCCTCATTTTAAAGCATGACAGAATTTATAATTAAATGATCCATCATATAAATTTGAGGAAATAGTTAAGCAATGATAACAGAAACAAAAAATTCAAGGTACACAAGCTAAGGCTCAGCAAGGGTGAGGATGGAATGCACTCAGAACCAGCTGAAGGATGAACAGAGATACCACTTTCACTATGACCACCTAGAAACATGAGTGGTGGAAAGGAAACAGCAGTCACATACATCTTACGATCAGAGGAGAGGAGCTGACCCGAGGGGAACAATTATTTTCTCATCAGACTTTACGGAAGGACATATTGAGTGATAATGTGCCCAACTTTAATTTTGGTCATCATTTACATCAGAATTTTCTGACATAGTATATCTAAGTATAAGATTTTGTATGTCCAAGGTAGGCATTTTCTTAATCCAATTAATATGTATGGAAACTGAAAATACATAGAGGGCATCTCCATCTATCACTTCTTTTGAAGACCTTAGTTATCTCATGAGGTTTATCTTATTTTTTTGCAGGAAAGGCAGCTTATAGGTAAAGAAGTCAAAGACTTAAGATGCAAAAAGATACAACTTGAATCAGTGTGGCTTCAAGTAACGCAAAACAATCATGTTGAAGCTAGAAGTTTATTTGAAACTGCCTACTGGAAACCACATCAGTGTGAGGAATCCAAGATTGAAAGGGTCTCCAATTAATCAGGTTTCAGTTACTAGAAGATTACTATGTGTGTGTGACTGTGGGACTACTTTCTGTTCATCCTCTAAGATTGTCTGTAGAGTTCTGCACAGTTCACCTTCTTTGTAAAGCTTTTATCATGTCTATCCCTCCTCCAAGAGCTCCTTCTTGCTGCCTTTTCCCAAGGCATTCCCCAGGCCCTTTCATATGTAACTGTCACTTCCCTCCACAGTTACAGGGTACATGGTGCTTAAGGTATGATAGCCTAGAACATGAGCTTCCCGATGACTGGATACTGTTATTCATTTTGGTAGTATTGGCAAAATTTGACAAGTAGTTAATATAGATTAAATACTCATTAAAGGAATGTGTAAAAACATAGATAATTATTGCTTTGGGAAACATGAGACATCTACCATTATCTAATCTCCTTATCACCTTTAATTATATCTTTTTAAAGTTATATTTATTTATGTGTGTTTCTTTCTCTCTCTCTCTCTCTCTCTCTCTCTCTCTCTCTCTCTCTTTCTCTGTATATGTACACTTGCCTACAGGTGTCCTGTGAGACCAGGGGTATAGGACCCTTGAACCTACAGATGGTTATAAGCTGCTCCCTAAGTGAATGTTGAGAACTGAACTCCAGTCTTCTGGAAGAGCATCAAGTGATCTTAATTGTTTGGCCATCTCTCCATCTCCATTTAACTAGATATCATAATTTAAGAAATATAACTGTGGCCAAATTTCTGTAGCTTGAGAAACAGGCATTGCAGTGAATCATTTAATTCTGAAGAGATGACTTTGTTTTGATTAGCTAAGACAATTACCACAGAATTGTAACTTTAGTAACCCAGCATAAAACTGGGAAAATGAACAGCAGACCCCAATCTTGTCTAAAGGAACGTTGGCATCTCATTGCTGCAGGTTGAGGAAGAGCTGACCTTCCTAAAACAAGGGACTCTAGATAGGCTGACTAGACTTAGTGGAAGAACTAGCACTGGGACATGGCTAGGGGCACTGACAACACAGTGGACAGCAACAGGGATGACAGAGTATATGGGCTCCGGGGGGTTGGGGGGTAGCTATGGGAGGGTGCCATTTGGGATGCAGGTATAAGGATGAATAAGATTGTTTGGGATGTTCTGTATAAACTACACACACACACACACACACACACACAAATCAGTAACTTAAAAAATGGGTTATATTTGAGGAAGAAGCATTAAAAAAAAAAAGAAATGCAACTTTAAGTACACATCACCGCCAGTTCAGGAGTTACTTCTCATCAAAACTCTTTTAGAGGCTTTCTTCTCTCAAGTCCAATCTTTTTACTTTTCCACACTGAACTATTCCTCAGCGTTCATTATGGCATCTAAATTTCATCCAGGCAGCTATTCAAAACTTTAAAAAATGTGTAGCCCAAATGAAATTCTGATATTGAGATTTTTTACCATTATGTGCCTCACATTTCTCAAATTCAAAGGGAGAGAAAGGAGACTGAGGGAGGTAGAGCAACCTGTCCATGTCCATACAACCATGGAGCGGCCAAGCTACAGGTTGAACATGGACCTCCATGTCAACTCCTTTTTACTCCTCCCTATTGACTTGCCTACTGTGTTGCCTGGTACACTGAATTCTAGGTTGGTATTGCAAGGATTTAGGTTGTGGCATCAAAGATAACAGTAGCCTGTATGGTGACTGGATGGCTCAATGTTAGGACACCTGCAAGGTTCTTCCCTGAACAGATGGAGATGGAAACAGGAAGAAGCGAGTAAATGTTTTTGAAGCTTATCTGGCTTTAGGTGAGAGTCAGGATTATGTGGGTTGCATACAGTTTCATTCCAATGCCTAAGCCTTGTTTCCATCCTTAGAAACTGATGGGAAAGGGGAGGCTATGTTCTGGGGCAATATACTAGTGGCTTTCTGAGCATGTACTAGCCACACCCAAATTATGAAATGAAACCATGATTGAAAAAGGAACTTTCCCAGGCTAGATAAAAACAGAGTTGAGAAAGGCTATGCTTTCTGGAGATGCACACAAGGCTAATCAACTAATCAAGAGAAGAGTGTTTTATTTCACTATGTATCATAGTTCAATCATCACCTCAGCTGCTACCTGCAATGCTATTCTCTGCTCTCTAGCAGTAATATATGGCTTAGAGATAGAGCACGCATTCTGGAATCAGAAGTTGAGTTCTAGTACCTTTCCCTATTAATGTGGCCACATTAATAATTCCTAAGCCTTCATTTCCTTGTTTGTGAAACAAGATAATAGTACTTATTTTTCAAAGAGACTACAAATTAAATTAAGAGTTATATATTGAGCACTTAATGCTTGAGATGGAACAAATACTCATCTCAAGTAAATTATTGATATATTACTTTTCTTTCTCTAACAAGTTTGTTTGTATATTTCAATATACATTCTTATGAGAGAACTGAGTATGAAAAATTAAGTATTTCTGAATATTTAAACCACGTGGCTTGCAGACAAACATGGTGTGCACGACACCGAAATTGCGAGTTTTATCTCTTTGGATTAAGTTTAATAAATTCCACCACTCTGCTCATAACAGACTGTGTGATTAATATATGCATTGCACTCTTATTGCACAAAACAAACTAGAGTTTGGGCAAAATGTTCCCTGAAGACCCAGGTGTGAAAGACTTGGTTCCTAGCTTAGAGCTATTGGACAGTGGTAGGAAGCTTTAATGGGCAGGCCCAGTGGGAGGTCTTTAACCTTTATGCTGTGACTGCAAAGATGATTAAGGGACTGAAATTTGTTCTTTTTCTTTCTCTTCCCGACTGTGAACTTAGGGGTTTACAGGCTTCTGCTATGTTGTACTGCCTCAGTATTGGCTCAAAGGAACAAAATTAATGCATTGGAGATTAACCTTGCAAAAGTGGGAGCCAAAATAAATGATTTCTTTTTATAAACTGATTATCTCAGTGATTGGTTAAAGAGACAAAAAGCTAACAGCAAATTCCTAGGAGAACTACGTAGGGAGCAGTCTTTTTGTTGTTGTTGTTTTGTTTGTTTTGTTTTGAGAAGGATTTCCCTGTAGCCCAAGCTGACCTGGGACTTGCTACGTAGACCACACCGGCCTCCATCTCACAGGGATCCACCTGCTTCTGCCTCTGGCATGCTGGTATTAAAGGCCTGCACCACCAACCACTCTTTTAACCTCCAGTGCTTACCTATTTTTTGCCATACTTTGCTTCCTCCCTTAAGAGATTCTCATTAAGTTTTCAAATAAGGTTATAAAAGTATGTCCATTTCAAAGTAACTAAAAAATACAGTAAGAACATTTTTTGACAAATATATTATTTTCCCTATAAGTTAAAAATTAAAATCACCTTAGGATGCTATTTTGAAGATGGATCTTTTGGGTTATCATCAAGTTCCATAAAACTTCTGTAAAAGAGAAAGGAGAAAACAAAGGTTAAGTATTTAGGCTTACAGGACTTAGAATGACCACATCACTAAAGTGTTCAGCTTTCTCCCTTCCTTCCTTCCTTCCTTCCTTCCTTCCTTCCTTCCTTCCTTCCTTCCTTCCTACATCAATCCCTTTGCTATCAGCTTTCCTTATCTATATTCATCAGGTGCTTAGGAAATTCAATGCCATTTTTTTTTCTTTTTCCTTGTTTTCTTTCTTTTTCTCTCTCTCCCTCTCTCCCCCTTTCTCTTTTTCTCTTTCTTTCTCGCTCCCTTTCTCCCTTTTTTCTTTCTTAAAAATGTACTCACTATGTTTCCCAGACTGACTTCACACTTGTGAGCCTCTTGCCTCAACCTCTGAAGTGGTTGGGATTACAGGCCTACGCTATTGTACCCAGAACTAAGCTTTCCCATGATTGAGCCATGATTTTCTTTTCCAGATTTTCCTATATAAAAATGAAATAAGACCCAATATTTCTATAGTAGTTTGTAGGTGACAAACTATTTATGCATGATTATCTCTGAACTTAAGTAACAACCTGTTAAGGGTCCTTTCATAAACAAATCCCAGAAAGGCCTCTATATTCATTACATTTATATGGTAATATAGCTCTAGCACTGAAACAGGAGCCTGCTACATAATATGAATTCATACGTATTTGTTGAGAGAATTTTTTTTGTGAAAAAACTTCAACAGCAAGATCAAACTATATTTCCATATCAAATAGCTGATAGATAGAGAAGTTTAAAACTTAGATTTCCAGAGTGGTTGCTAAGTACCAGAAACCCTATTCACTATTGCTCATGGATTTATTAACAGGGTATATTCCGGGGAGATAAAGATGATGAAAATAAGGTTTTTGAAAAGACTAGTCTAATGGTGACAACAAATACAAGTAATTTAAGACAATGAAAATAGATAATGTTATAAACACTCATACAAAGCATTATAAAATTCTAAAATGTAGAAAACTGAATTTTTTTCATTGTAGGAGTCTGTGAATTCTCCAGAACTTGCTTTTGAATAGGGTTTTAGAAAGTGATGAGGCTTGATGTATAAGAGTAGACTTGTAGTTTGGGGACCAGATACTTTTGGTAGAACAAGAAAAATCCTGCACGAAAAAAGATCATATAAAGATGACATGAGACTGGGGCATCAGGTGTCTAGTGGGGCAGGGTGACTGAGGTAGCTGGAAATGCATTGGCACCGGAGCCTGATCTTCACTATCAGTGCAAGGCATGTGCTCTTCTGTGTAAACAGTGAAAATTCTTGAAAGCATTTCAGGAATGGTGGTGAGATAATCAAAACTCATTTTTCTTTTACTAAATATTTTGTCTTAATTTTCATTACTTATATGTGCATGTGTCTTAGTGTGGGTATGTCAAATCCCCCCTGGAGCTGGAGTTATGGGTGCCTGATATGGGTGCTAGGACCCAAACTTGGGCTCTCTGCAAGAGCAGCGTATGCTCTTAAGCATGGAGTCATCTGTCCAGTCAAAAAAATTCTGCTTTTGATAAAATTATCTGGTAGTAAATAGAGTCTTGAGAGCAGTGAAGAGTGACAGCAAAATTAATTAGAAATCTAATAAAATAAACTTGTGAAACAGAGTTTAAACTCATGAAAGAGAGTTTAAACTCATGAAAGGGTTCAATTTGGTCAGTTCTTCAGTCGAGTGAAAGAAAAGGAATAGCTGAAAGAAAATTCAGATAGAATTCAGCAACAGACTGAAGGTGGTGATGAATAGGAAGGGTCCACAGGTCTGAGTTCTGGAGTCTGGGGGAATGGGGATATGACAGGAAAGACAAAGTTGGTACATAAGATACATTTGCATATACACACTGAATTTGAGGTGTTGGTGGAAAAACTAGAGTTTTGTAGTATAAAGCTTTTTGTTTTGCCTGGATTTCAGAAAAAAAAATAGAGCTATGAGGTTAAAACTTGTCAGATTTATATAGTATTCCTGATGTGCATGCTGCAGTGTGGAAAAGAAATCAGGCACATTTGGAAGCTTGGGGGTCGATCGAACGTGGCAGTGATGCTCCTGCCTCTGCTTCCTGAAGCAGAGGCAGGAGCATCACTGCCACGTTTGAGGTCAACCAAGGCTACATGATGAGACATTGTTTCAAAACAAAGAACAAACAAACAAAAAAAGACAACAAAAACCCAAATAAATATATGTACATGTGCATATACATATGCACGTGTATGCATGTGTGTTTGTGTATTTGTGAGAGTGTATGTGTGTGTGCATGTATGTGTGTGTGTGTGTGTGTTTCAGAATGTTGGTGAGTTTAATGCAGCCTTCGTTGTTCCATTCAATCCTGAAGGCAAGTGGAGGGAACAAACTGGTTTATTCAGTGTCCCCAAAGTGTATATTTATTATGTGCCTAGAACCCTACTTTTGTATAAAATAAATTGGAATGAACAAAACAAATTTCTCAAACTGATGATTCCCCACCAGCCTTTTCATTCTTTGTTTTGAGTCAAATCTCATTCTGTTCTTCAAGGCCCAGATTACAGTTTACATTTGGCATGGACATATCTCTAAATTGCACTGGCCACATTGGCCATGCTGAAAACAGCCTTTCAATTCAGAAGGAATTTATCTTGCTAGATATTTTTAGTTGTTATTGCGTTAGTTCATGTTATTTTACTATAAAGACTGAGCATTTGTTAAGAAGGAATTTACGGTCTACATCTTCACAGTTCCTGCCCCAGCTTTGCACATATTACATGTTACCTGCGATTTTGAAAGCCTTGTTACATGTTACATGTCTCATCTTCCTTACATCTGTGGTCTTCCTTTGCAGACAGACTTGGCAGTATATCTCATATCTTGACTCTACCCTCATCTAGATTTCTTCTTTTGAGACAGTACTGTTGTGCCTTTGAACAAAGACCCTTTAGGTTTCCCAAGTCAAGTTGAGATCAATTGGCTTTAGTTAGGTAAGTTTACTTTCCTTAATTCATCAAATGAATAATTATTTTCTGAATGTCTGACATCATGGACCTGAAGATATTGTAGTTGGCTAGATAGATCGATGTGGTTTCTTTCTTATTTTTTCATTTAGTGACATGATAAAGAGTAAATAATTTCAGGTGGTTATTAGCAATAATGTACCACGGCACAGTCAAGTGATAGAGAACAACCAGATGGGAAGAGGAGAGGGAATCAGAGACCCAGAGAACAGATTTACAAGGAGGCACTTGAAATGAGCTACAGTACCAAGCAGTGGCCATGAGATTAGGGAAAAAATAGGTCAGATAGAAGGGAGAGCAAGGGCAGCTTGCCTGGCCAGGTGGTAAGTCACAGTAGCAGAAAGCAGGCATTTACTCAGAACAGGAAAAGGGTGGAAGTGAGGTGACAGTTCTGAGATAATCCACAGCAAATCCTCAATGGATCAGATGGGAAACTTTCAGGGAAAGTACAGACATAGTCACCATTTCACAGCAGGGAAGGAGCCAAGGAAATATTATTCCACCCCCTGGCTTTGCCATGTTTTCTATGTGACATTACTCACCGGAGCCTAACTTATATATTGCATACAATGAATCAGTTACACTTATTTTGTTATTGCTTTCCTTCTTGCTTCTATTGTCAATCACGGGCAGCAAGAGTTGCAAAAGTATCCACAAAAGGAAATGAAGCAATAAAAGAGAATCATCTCTTAGTTTTAACAATTTGCAGAGAAAGCTCATGCAGAATCCTGTACAACCAAATGGATTGATGTAAGAAGATCAAAGATTGCAAGAAGACCCCAAACTACTTCTATGTAGAACTGCTTCTCATTTTTTATTATACCTTTGAGAAGATATAAATTCTTTCCCTAGAAAAAAATGAGAATTCATAGTTACATAAATTATGAATAAAGGGACTGGATAGATGGCTCAGCAGTTAAAAGCACTGGCTGTTCTTGCAGAGGACCCAGATTCAGTTCCCCACACCTACATGGCAGCTAACAATCATCTATAAAACCAGTTTCAGAGGATCCAACACCCTCTTCTGGCCTCCATGGGCATTGCATGCATATGATGCACTTAGAACATACAGGCAAAATACTAATACAAATTGAAAATAAAGTAAAAAAAAAACCCAAATGTTAAAACTGAATACAATTTAAAGCCTCTATAGAACTTTAAGGCCTAGTTACATAGGTGAGCATCTGATTAGGTGAGTCTTTCATAGCAGAATTACCTATGTGGAAAGCCTGTTAAAAAATGAACTCAGCCTTGCCTTTGGGCACAGACAATATGTAATGTAGAAACCTGAATTAAAACAAAATTCTCCCATGTATCCTGAAGCAAGTGGGGAATAAATAAACTCAAACTCTGCTCAGGCATCTCTGTGCAAGAGACTTGGAAAGCAGAGGCTTGGAGAGGAGCAGAAAGAAAGTACCCATGAGCAACATGAGGATAAGAAGTGAAAATTATGAGCTAGTGGCTGAAGTCATGGGCCTTGGGAGCTGGCACAGGGGCTGGAAGCAGGCTAACATAGCAGACTCTGTGCTGGCTCATCTTTCATCAAGGCCCACACACTCATATTCAGAGTTCTCCAAATTGCATCTAAGCAGAGATCATCAGCAACTTCTGCAAACCCTTGAGCTACTCAAGCTAGAAACTAAACACGAGGCATACATCTTTCATCGGGTCCTATGCCCTTTCTCCTCCCTATATGGCCCTAAAACATATGGCAGCTCTTGATGGGAGAGCTATCACCAAAGAATTCAGCATAATTCATTCAGAGGCAAGATGTATCTTAACACAGGGCAACACTTTTTCAGTGAAATATAGTGAATGCAATTTGTGCCAAAAATGACTTTTCTCTCATTTGCGTGTAAAGCGATTATTATTCACAGTGAAGCTGGCAAAAAGCAAGGTTTGTCTGGGTGCTTACGATCCCCTGGCCATGGTGCCCAGAATGAAGTCCACCGCTTTCTCAATGATCTCTGAGCCCAGGAGGCTCAGGAATTTGGGGAACTCTGTTTCTGGTTTTTTGCCGGGTTCATCTGGCTTGTTTTCTGATTTCTCATCCGTGTTTTCACTGTCGCTTGGTTTGTCATCTGAAAACAAAAAGAAAAACAGAACAGATTCCAGAAGCCGGTCTTAGAAACAAGAGAGGGAGTCTGTTTCTCAGGTAAAAGCCAAAGTACTCCTTGGTGACCGCCTGGTACCCACTCACTAGTTAGATAATCCGGTAGGGTTAGATTCGCTGAGCATTTAGTGTTTTCCTTGGTGATGTCTTCACATAATCATCTCATTTATTACTTAAACTAAACAGGTGGTAAATATAGATACTTAGGTAGACACTGGCTACATTTGTGACCTAGAAAACTGAAGCTCACAGAAGTTCCTTTCTTTTTTAAATATTTTACTTATTGTTTTTATTTTATGTGTATGAGTGTATTGCCTGCATGTACGTGCATGCACCCGTGTCGTGCAATGCTGTGGAGGTCAATAGAGGGCTTTGGATTCCTCTGGAACTGGAGCTGAGGACGGTTTGTAGCTGCCATGTGGGTGCTGGGACTCAAGCCTGGGTCCTCTGCAGGATCAGTCAGTGCTCTTAACCGCTGAGCCATCTCTCCAGACCCAGAAGTTCCTTTAGTATAGTTGAGATAGCTAATGCCAGGGTCAGACTGGAGACACAGAGTGGCTAGATTTGTCATGTCATACACAGAACATTGGTGTTTTCATGTGATGCCCATGCCAATGGTAATATAAACAATGAAGATGAAATCTTGATGCGTAGCTTTGATCCAGTGTATATCTCTAAGGTAATTCATATGCAGTTTCACATTTTACTTTCACAACTCTGTGAGGTAAGAAAATTACTATGCCAACTTAAAGATGAAGAAATGAAATAGACAGAGGTTTTAAAGCTGTTTCAAAGAGACTGAATCAGTGATAGAAATATAATCCTACCTGTTGTTTGTCTGATATTAAAATACAAATTTTTAAGTATTCTGTAATAAACTGTATAGCCTTTGTAGAAAAGTTTTATAACTTGCACTTTTATCTGAATGAAAACAGTGAAATAATGATATATAAATTCTGCCACTTGTATGGCACCTGTTAGTTTTATAAATAATAATTTAATAAATGCTGTGCAATTTTACCCCTGGAAAATCTTGTGGGATATGAAATTTTCAGCTCTTTGGACTGAGGAGTTGAGATGAGGGACTTCCAGAAGGCCATGCAAAATGCAGTAGTAGACGGCCTGCTGGCGGTAGGACTCCTACACCTGGTCCCCTACCAGTCACTGCCTGGACTGAGGGCATAGGATCCTGAAGGCCAAGCCAGATACACTCAGGACCCTTGTGATGAAAAGGACCAAAAAAGTGGCAGCAAATACAGTATGCCACCTTCCTTCTGAACCCTGGTGACAGATGCAGGATTTTTTTCCTTTAATCTTACCACCAAATAAATGGCCTGGCCAGAAGTTATACATAACGTACTGGATACCTAGTTGAATTTCAGTTAAAACAACAAGCTGTTTTTAGTATAAAAAAGATCCATAAGGCTAGGCATGGTGATACACACCTTTAATTTCAGCACTATGGAGGTAGAGGCAGGCAGATCTCTATGAATTTGAGCCCAGCCCCATCTACATAATGAGTTTCAAGCCAGCCAGGGTGGCATAGTGAGACCGTCTCAAAATAAAATAAAATTCCATGCAACATTTAGAATGGACTTATAATGAAAATCAGTCATTGTTTACATGAAATTCCAGTTTATTTTGGTGTATTAGTTTTAATTCATTAATTGAGATACCTGTAATTGCTTGTAAAATGAATTTTTGAAAGACTCTTCATTGATGTTGTCCATTTTGCTTGAAAATTAGCCTGCTCCTGCCCTAAAAGCATATAAAACTTAAGATTTTAATTAAGCTCTTTTATGATAAAATGATTAAAAATAGATGAAACAGAGAATGCCTTATATTTTTCTGTGAACCCCACTACAAGTTTTGACTCATAGAGTCCCAATTTCTATATATTATACCCTATAACTTCAGATGAAGGTCATCTATGGGGTTGCCAAATGAGCTAAAAAACCTGGGATCCATATTGTAGTTTAAATTAGAAAATTACTGGTAAAAAATTATTGGCATTAAATTTTGTAAACATTTACTATTTACTATGTCACAAGCAAAAACCAGGTAGGACCTCAGTATGGAGTTTATCAAATCTTTATCCACTCAGTTGTTGAGACATACATTTAGAAAGGTTTTTTAATAGCATATATGCAGAACTTTTTCCCTTAAAAATTAAGGTAAAAGTGGTCAAATATAGACATGACCCTTATATACAACTTTGGGAGCAAAATACCCAGAACGGATTTGTTTTCATTGTGAGAAGGAGAAGCAACAGACTCCTTTTGTGAGGTGCTGGTTATATACCTGGGCTAGTAAATTGTCATAGATGATTCTCAACTAGCTCAGTGATGGTGTTACAGAGGAGAACAGGGGAAATTAAGCAGATCACCTAAAACCACTCAGGTGAAAGTGGCTGAGCTAGTGCATGAAACTAAACTTCTAACGTCACAAAGCCTGTTATTCATATTATGTCACATTAAGTCCACAGAATCGTTCCCCAAAGATTTCTATCAAGTGTGAAACAGTTATTCCAAATTCTCTGAATGAATGAAGGCTCCGTCATCCCATATTTCCTTGGATAACAATTTATTGACTTTTAATATAATACAAAACACTATTTTTTCAATACTTGAGTAATCTCTGAGGGGAGTACAGGAAGTTTGGAATAAACCTCAGTCTTTGGGTCACATGTATACTCAGAGATATTGGAATCTGACATGCCACATGGTTTACTGTCCTACAGTCTGAGCTTTCCTTTTGTTTTCAACAAAACAACAGCTGTGTAATTTTGCAGACAATGTTTAACTACTATGTTAGTTTCTTCACTATGGTATTGTTAGGACTGTATTTTTTTCTATCTCTCATGTATGTCATATAAATATCTATATAACTATACACTTATGTAGTACATATACCACCTATCCCAGAACCAGACCCAGGATAAGTAAATTATTTGTACTATTATTATTGTCATTATTAATAATAGCAACATAGTGATATGTCACTCATTTTATTCCTCTAGTATGTTAAAAGATCATGAGATTTTAATAAATTATTAGAATATTTAGAAATTTCATATCAATTCCCATAGTTAAATATTTTCTCTTTTTGAATATGAGTAGTCTTTATTCACATTAATTATTCAGTTGAAGTTCTTATTTAAATGATATTATAAAATTGTAAACAAATAAAGTATTACCATTTGTACAACTTTTTATGTTACAGAAAATGATTATAAAAGCATGCTTATTTGTCTGGTAAAGTCAATATGTGAATCCTCAACAGGTGTTGGAAAAAGACTTAAAACAATGAACTGATTTAACCAGTTTCAGAGTTTTATAAGAGAGAACTCAGAATTGTCTTGAGGATACAAATCTTATCTCTTATGTCTCTGTGCTGATTACTTTAGGAGCACAGTGGACACACAGACATCCCTGTGTCCCCCTCTGGAGCAATTCTTTTTCAGTGTTTGCCTGTGTGTCACACTGATGAAGTTGTGAGGGCCCTGGGCTGTGAGTTCTGCCTAGTTACATGCAAAGGGGCCTGTTGCTAACTAGTTAAACATTGTGCTTTCTGTATCATTCTGAATAGAGACAAGTCAAGGCCTCACAGTCCTCCGTACACAAAACAATCAATTGATTAATGAGAAAGCTGCATGCTGCTTTGAAGTCCTCTATGTGCTTGGGTGGGATACAAATGATGTTTAGTTGCAATGGGGAGACTCTGGGGACTTAGATTTCACAACCAGAGCCACTTCCACTTTTATCTATGCTCAAAGAACTTTCCCTTTGAAAGCGCGGTTTATTAACCTGCATCAATCAAGGAAAATGAGAAAACTCTGTTTCCTTAATAGAATTATTATGAGAATTGATTAATATTGTAATACACACACATATATATATTTGTCAGCATGGAACATTATTAGTTATAATCATCACAATACCCCACACTTCTCAGTAAATTTATATGTATCACTATATCATATGAGACTATAAAAAAAGAACTCATTCTGAACTTTATACATTTACTGCAAACTGGGGGTTTAACCAAAACACACCATAATAAAACTGCTTTCTGTGTTAGAAGATGTACTTCCAACTTCCCAGTCCACTGTTCTGTGATGCTGAAAGGTCCCTCCCCCTCTTAAGTTATGAATCAGTGCCAGCTTTCATGCATCACTGCTAACTATGGCACAGTTTCTGGGCTGTGATCAGAAACACTTACCTGCATAGCAAGTCAGGATTAGGGCAAGCACTCCCAGGACAACTGCCAGCCGTAGAATGGAGACAGCCATTGTAGTCGTGGGTATTGATGCAGATTAATTGCTCAGATGCACCTGCAGCTTTGCTTCATATATAGGACGCTTACAGGTGACATCATCTGCTATGGAATTTAGGTTGTTGCACAAGATATCTGTACAGCTTGCCCTGGGATCTCTGCTAATGATCTCTGACCTATCTTTCAAAACCAAAGGTTTTCTTTCTTTTATAAAAAAAACATGTATTTTGGTGTTTTTCAAATGAAATTGTGTTATTGTTTCTCTCCCCTCTTCTCCACCCGCCTGTCTCCCTTGTCCCTCCCCCCTGGAACTTCTATCAAATTTCCTGTCATATGTGACCTTTTGCCCCCACTACCACTTCCTCGGTACCTCTTGTTCACTCGCCCACCTAGTTCCGTAGACTATAATCCACTCTTACAAGTCCTTATTTACATACATACAAATATTTAAACTTAGGATCAGTTTATGAGAGAAAAACATGCATTTTTATGTCTTTCTGAGGATAGGTCACTTCACTTAATATAATAATGTTGAGTTCCATTTATGTTCCTGAAGAGTTCATAATTTCCTTTTCTTAAAAGATGAGTAAAATTGCAGTGTTTTCATATGCCACATTTTCATTATCCCTTCTACTGTTGATGGATATCCATTTCCTAGATATTTTGAATAATGTAGCAATAAACAGGAATGTCCAAGTATCTTTGTGGCAAGATACAGAACTTTTGGGTGTATGTCCAAGAGTGATACACCTGGTTCTTACAGCAGCTCTATTTTTACTTGTTGGAGGAACCTCATGCTGATTTCCATGCACAGTGGCTGCACTAGTTCATACTCCCCTCAGCACTGGACACGGATTTCTCTTTGCTGGTAGTTCCCCTTGCTATGCAGAAAAATTTTAACTTCATGTAGTTTTAGGGCTGTTTCCTGCACTATTGGAATTTTGTTCAGAAAATTCTTGCCTATTCCTATGACTTCAAGTGTATTTTGTATGTATTCCTCAGTCACTTTCAGGTTTTAAATTAAGGCTTTTGATCCATTTTGAATTGACTTTTTGTGCAGAATAAGAGATGTTTTAGGTTCATTATTTTGCAGGTGCCTATTCTGTTTTGCCACATAATTATTGAACAGACTGTACAGATACAATGTAATTTCCAGCACAGAACTAGAAAAAACAGCTAAAACACATATGGAAACATGAAAAACCAAAGCAAACCAAAACAGAAAAAACATTGCTGGAGATTTCATAATATCTAACCTCAAATTATAAGACAGAGTGATAGTGACAAAGTCAGCCTGGTACTAGCACAAAGCAGACAAGGAGACCGATGGCAGAGGACCCAGAGACAAACCCACACTGCTATAGCCACTTCATTTTTGATAAATTTGCTAGGAATGTACACTGGGAAAAAAACAAAAGGATTTTCAAATAGAGAAATGAAAATTCTCTTAGTTTACCTAATGTGTGTCTGTAGGTAGCACTGGAGCCCATCTTCAGGGGGAAGTTTCAACACAAGTATAGATAAACAGATGCAAGGTATAATTACCCTTCACTGTGGGACAACAAGCAGTAAATCAGATTGACCAAGTGTCCCACATACCTCCCTATGCACTGGCTTCTCTCTCCAAGCTTGGGCCTGACTTCCCAGTTATATGTGGGTTTCCATGCTGTGCCCTTTGTGGCCCTTTCTTCTTCTCATGCTGTTTCTCTTGCTGGGTTATCTTTCCTGACATCTTCCCTTGGAGCACTCCCATTTGCTCCTCAGACTTAGGTCTAAATGCCTATATTGTTTGAAATCTTCATGGTATCCATTTCTAACTCCCTCCAGCAGGACCTTTATTAACTGGCTTAGAACCCTTAATTCCATTGCCCAAGAACTAAGAACTTTAGTAGCTCTCTCTTCCAACCTGAGAATCTACGAATCTATCTATCTATCTATCTATCTATCTATCTATCTATCTATCTATCTATGTATCTATGTATGTATGTATCTATCATCTATCTATCTATCATCTATTATCATCTATCTATCATCCTATCTATCATCTATCTATCTATCTATCTATCTATCTATAATCTATCTATCTGTCATCTATCTATCTTCTATCATTCTATCATCTATCTATCTATCTATCTATCTATCTATCTATCTATCTAAAAAAATATCTATCATCTATATTCTGTCTATCATCTATCATCTATCTATCTATCTATCATCATTATCTATCTACCTATCTATCTATATATCTGTCATCTATCTATCTAAGAAAGCTTAAAATCTACTCTTAGCAAACAGTGTAGTCAAAACATTGTTATAAACCATATGGACCATGTTTTGAAATAGATTAATTTATTCCATTTGCATAACTGATGCTTTGTGTGTTTTGACCAACAACTCTAATGCTCCCTCCACCCTCTAGCAACTGTTTCATTCTATTATTCTTAGAGTTTAAGTGTTTTGGGTTTTACACGTAAGAAAAATCATTTAGTTAGTGTCTTTATGGGTTTGACTTATTTTACTTGACATAATGATCTCCAGGTTGATTTATGTTACTATAATTATGAACTTGCTTCCTTTTAAAGAACAAATAGTATTTCATCACATACAAACCACTCTTCCTTTACCCATCCATCTACTAATGGGCACACTGGTTGATTCTCAGTCAGTGGCTCTATTACGAGCAGAGGGCCTTTCTTCTTCTGAATCCTCGGGATCCTGGTGGTGCATTGTTCTAAGGTTTGTCTTCCCTTCCTCTGGGGCTTTTCTGTTTTTTTCAGGCAGAAATAAATGATGATTTGATGTGCCAGATAGATGCCCACTTAAATGTCACTACAAATAGGCTTAGGCTTCTTGAGAATAAGACTGTATTTTATGAGTGAATGCATGTTGTCCAAAGCATATATCATCAAAAGCAAAAAGAAAAGAACAAGAAAGAAATCAAAATAAAGAAAGAAGAAGCAAAAGCAGCTTGAAGATTAAGCTCAAGTCCTTTCTTAGTTCAATTTCCCTCCTCCTCTGAAACAGCATGTTCCTGTACCTCTTAATAAAGTCTGCTGTTCTATCTTTCAAAAGGAAAAGAAAAAGTGGTTAACTCATTGAACTAATTTGCATTTGTGGGATGGGTAATTGATCTGAAAACCTGCTGTGTATCCCAGGTGCAAAAAGCACATCTTATTTTGGACTTAAGCAGTCAAAGAAATTAAACTTGCCTTGAGTGTGGATGGAAATTCTATGTGAATAAAGTCATCACATTCAAATAACTAAGATAAATATTTATAGGTATCAAATAGGAAAGGTAACTAACTGATGCTTGGAAGCAAGAAGGGCGTCTGGTGTTTCAGAACCAGGATAAGCGCCTAGACGACTTTACTAGGTAGTATCCTTAGCAATGTTATCTGCTGGAAGTAGTTGGGCAGCTTTGCTGGTACCTTTCAAGACCTCTCCATCCATTCTTTTCAAAGACCTGAGCTTAATTCTCCTGGACTAAAAGTTGTTTTGCCTGCTTCCCAAGAGATCAGCTAGATGGAGCATATAAACTCTGAATGAACTGTTTTTATTGATTGGTTATCAAGAAAATGACATTCTACTGAGCATCCAATTCCTAGCACAGTGTCTCTGTATAAAAGATACTTAACCAATATGTTTCAAAGAAATGGGAGCTGGAGCGATGGCTCAGTGGTTACGAGCACTGATTGATCTTGCAGAGGACCTGAGTTCAATTCCCAGAACCCACATGGCAGCTAACAACTGTGCATAATTCCAGTTCCAGGGGATCTGACACCCTCTCTAACTTCTGTGGGCATTTCAGGGTGCACTTACATGTATGCAGGGACTACATTCATATAAACAATACAAAATAAAAATAATAGAAATAAAATATTTAAAGAGGAAATGAATTAATGAATATATTCAAGAATGGAAGGCTGGATGCCTCAGTAAGCTCTGTCAGCCAGTGTCTGAGTGATGGATTTACCCAAGCTAGAAAAGAAAGCAGAAGAGCTTCCAGAACATTCTCTAACTTGGTAAGGAGGCACACAAATGAAAGTCATCAGGGATGCTCTCTGGTTTTGTTTCCTATGGGCAACTGACTACTTCTTAAGTTCCCTGTGCCTTGGGTTCAATGTCTCTAAGATAAGAATAATTCTATTTCTTGGGGAAGTTTGTGTATTCAGAGAAAATATGTGCAAACAGGTAGTACAAGGTTTTACACATGCTAAGCGGAAGTAAATGATAGACTTATTCCTCACCCTTTCTTTTCCTTTACTCCCCCTCCCTCAACCTCCCACACTTCCTTCCTCTTCATTCTTCTTTCATTTTCTTCTCTCCCTCCCTTCCTTCCCTTCCCTTCCCTTCCCCTTCCACCTTCCCCCTTCCCCTTCCCCTTCCCGTTCTTGTTCCCCTTCCACCTTCCACCTTCCCCTTCCCATTCCCCTTCCTGTTCCCCTTCCACCTTCCACCTTCCCCTTCCCTTCCCCTTCCAGTTCCCCTTCCACCTTCCCTTCCCTTCCTTTCCCTTTCCTTCCTTTCCTTTCTTTTCCTTCCCTTCCCTTCCCTTCCACCTTCCCTTTCCTTCCCTTCCCCTTCCCCTTCCCTTTCCCTTCCCGTTCCCCTTCCACCTCCCACCTTCCCTTCCCTTCTCTTCCCTTCCCTTCCCTTCCACCTTCCACCTTCCCCTTCCCCTTCTTGTTCCCCTTCCACCTTCCACCTTCCCTTTCCCCTTCCCATTCCCCTCCTCTTCCCCTTCCCTTCCCCTTCCCATTCCCCTTCCACCTTCCCTTCCCTTCCTTTCATTTCTTTTCCTTCCCTTCCCTTCCCTTCCCTTCCCCTCCACCTTCCCTTTCCTTCCCTTCCCCTTCCACCTTCCACCTTCCCTTCCCTTCCCTTCCGTTCCCTTCCCCTTCCCCTTCCCCTCCCCTTCCACCTTCCCTTCCCTTCCCTTCCCCTCCCCTTCCACCTTCCCTTCCCTTCCCCTGCAGGAAGTAAAAAAGGTAAATGCTAAATTCTTTGTGAGCACAT